TTATTTCCCTTTTTTTCTTTGTGTCTTTTTTTCTTTGCACACATCTATCTCTCACTCACAGCCACGTGCTCACCATCAATAAGACCAAGCTGCATTAAGTCCAGGCTGGTGGCAAAACGCCAGCTCAATAATGTCTTAACAGCTCCCGCTCATCTGAGCAAGCTGCTCACACATACTCAGCATTAACAACATTACAAGGAATGAACAATGTTGATACTTCCTATTTAAAAGCAGCGTGTTCATCAGGGACAGGTGAGATTAACTCTAAAGTTTCAGGCCAACACAACCAGCAATGCTACTCACATCACCTGGAGGAGTAAACCAGTCTCCTCACACACATAATTAATCAGCTTGAATTAGCCCTGTTTCATTAAAACAAACTGGCTCATCAGTGTAATTTGGGTGTACTACGATTTAATGAGGAATAAACAGTCAGGAGAGCCTGGATCGTGCGTGGTACAGCTGCCACATGGGACTTGACAACAATGTCAGCATCTGTATGACATCCAATGCACACGGCCCTGAGACACCCTGCAGTATACAGTATACTGTATATGCTGCTGCTGCTGCCTCTGGACCACACAGATGCTGAGCACAGAATAGAAAAGGATAGATAGATAAAGCTAAAACACAAGCAGTATTTGTTTTTGTTTTTAAGAATTAAGAGAAGATAAAACTGGGGGCGGGGCGGGGGTGGGGGCGGGGCGGGGGGGGGGGGGGGTTTGCTTTACCTCTATCTTTGTGTGTGTCTGTAGGAGAGAGAGAGAGAGAGACAGCAATGGCTGGATCTGTGTCTAAAAATATCCACTGCATTTTTTTCTGCTTCTCTGACTTCATCTGGAAGTTTCTTCACACCCAACTCTACTGTGATGAGCTATCCTCAGTGGGACCAACTAGGACACATGTTACTGGAGACCATATCACTTTGCTGCTTCCATCAACACACACGTCACTCCTAGCCCTTTATCGCTTGGGTTTGATAAGACAAAATAATAGAACCATATAATACAATGGCTTTGCAGCTAATAATGTTTATTTATGTCAAATCTGTGTTTGAACAGCTTTATGGTCATTTTTGAGGCTGCTGCTGTGAGAGTGGAAACGATTAGACGATTAATGTCAATTTACAGACAATTAATTGCCAGCTATTGTCATAAATGCAAAACATTCTCTGATTGAATGAATCAGATCAGCTTTTCTCAGTTTTAGATCACTGTAAATTGAATGTCTTTGGGTTTTGGACTGTGGGTGGTAAAACATAAAGACGTCACACTGGGCATATTGTAACAGGCACATTTTTAGTATTTTCTAATATTACAGACCAAATGATCAAATGATTAACTGAGACAATAATTGTTAGTTGCATGGGACAAAGGGATGCATAACAAAATAAAACAAAATCTCTAATTCAGTATCTACAGCTTAAGATGTTCATTTCTTTGGAGAGCTTTTTGTTCAGCGGTACAGTCATTTTTGAGGCTGTAGTATGTGGTGTTGCTGTACTGTTCATTAGAAACTGTTCTTATTAAGCTTATTAAGTTAATTTTGTGCCCACCCCCTGTACAATTCTCAGTGATCCTGATCAGTCACTAAAATTATGCAATATAGCTACTTTATGGCATTCTGAAAATCTGTCCTTCAAAATGTCAGCCTAAAGGCCATAAACACAAATATTCTTCTAAATAGGGAGTCTATAGCATATTGATCAGAGCAGAGGACCAGGGTATTGACTCATAGCTGATAATCTTGCTTCATGCTTCTGCATCAGCTCAGACTGACTCAAATGATCACAAGTTTCAAAATGCGCTGGGCTTGCTGTATTCCTGGTGTATTTCTCAGGCCAAATTCATTCACAAACCGCGCAACACCCATAGTGTGCGTATAGGAGAATTAATAGGCCATTTGGCAGCGCTATTGATACATCCCAAACCTTTGTGAGTCACGCATTAACCATTTCAAAGCTAACCTCTCACTGGGGTTTCAGAGTGAAGCATGTGGTAAATGCTACAGCTTGCTATTTCTGACCAAGAGGCTGTTAAACAATATCATATTTTGATGCATGACGCTCACCTTTGTCCGTTGTCCATGCCGTTTCCGACACGGCGCCGTAGCTCCTGAGCGCGCGCTCGGTATCCGAAATAGATTTCTTCAGTTCCATGTTGGTGGAGTGCACGCGCATATAAACCAGGATTCAACGAGTCTTTCAGCTAAACCTGCACGGCCCCTCTGTGTTCGTCCTCCCAAATAACTCAGTTTCACCCGGTGACAAAGCTCCAGCGACCCGAGACGTTGAGCATCTTTATTCAAGCTTTCAAGTCCCTCGACGTGTGGATAGAGGTGAGGATGTAAGGAGCATGCGCAGTGCGGGCAGGGATGTGAAGACTTGGGAGACACCCACTAGCAACGAGATGACGTTAAAAATAAAACTATAAGCACACAGTTATAATTTTTAAGCCTGTCCAAGAACTTGTTTTTATTATAGGCCTATGCCAAAGCTCTGCCTGGATACATTTAATTTAATTTATTATTAATAAAGGGATTTGAAAGCCAGCAGGCAGTAATGGCTTTTCAAGCATTTTGTCTCTTAAGTGTACCTCTGGTTGTTATTTGACAAACAGACATAACTGCCGACAGTTAAGTGGCATGCGTTTCCGCATAAAGGGGTGTGATTGCATATGGCAAAATTAGACAAATGGATTCTGTTTGAGTAGTCTGTTCCAAATTTAGAAACGAATTTATTCATAGGTGCCTGAAGCATCATTTTTGAAGGCTTAGAAGCAGGGATCTCTAATCTGCGAAGTAAAACAGAAAGAGTTTACTGACTCAGCCGACCTGATTTCCTCGGGCAGGCTGTTCCAGAGCCTCGGGGCCCTGACAGCAAACGCTCTGTCCCCTATAGTTTTCAGTCGAGACACTGGAACAGACAACAGACCTCTGTCCGAGGATCTCGAGGTACGTGCTGGTGCGTATGGGACTAAAAGGTCAGAAATGTAACAAGGCGAGAGGCCATGAAGATCTTTAAAAGTGATCAACAGAATTTTAAAGTCAATTCTAAAACATACTGGGAGCCAGTGTAATGAAGCTAAAATAGGAGTAATGTGGTCATATTTCTTTGTTCTGGTTAAAAGCCTGGCAGCTGAGTTTTGGACAGTCTGGAGTCTATCAGTAGACTTTTAGGTAAAACAAGTGAAAAGGCTGTTGCAATAATCCAGGTGTGATGAGATGAAGGCGTGTAAAATGGTCTCGGTGTCCTTAAAAGTTAACATAGATCAAATTTTTGCTATATTTCTAAGTTGATAAAAACATGATTGAACAAGCTTTGTGGTGTGCTGCTATATTTAAATTACTATCAAACCAAACACCAAGGTTCTTTGCCACAGGCTTAATGTGATTTACTAGGGAACCAGCAGATGGCAGTATTTGTTTTGCCATCTGCTGAGACCCGATGACCAGGATTTCTGTTTTGTCTGAGTTCAGCTGGAGGAAATTATTTGACATCCATTTTTTAACTTCACAAAGGCAGTTGTTAAGTGAACTCAGCATTCCAGGGTCTGTGGATCTGACTGGCAAGTACATTTGTGTGTCATCAGCATAAATATGAAAAGAAATGCCATGTTTATGGATAATATGTCCAAGGGGAAGCAGATACAAGGAAAACAAAATGGGTCCCAAGACCGACATCTGAGGCACACCATATTTAACTGGACAGAACAAGGAGACATAGTTGTTTACAGACACGCAAAACTTCCTATTTGACAGGTAGGATGAAAACCATTCTAGGGCAGTACCAGAGATCCCCACCCAGTGCCTCAGTCTGTCTAACATGATGTTGTGATCAATGGTGTCAAAAGCAGCGCTAAGGTCCAGGAGTACAAGGACTGAGCACATGCCTTCATCAGCAGACATTAAAAGGTCATTGGTGACTTTAAGCAGGGCAGTCTCAGTGCTGTGGTTCTTCCTGAAACCAGATTGAAACTTTTTGTTATGAAAATATTTTGTTATTTTCCAGCACAGTGAGCAGCTGTTTGGACACAATTCTTTCTAGAATCTTTGCAATAAAAGGCAGTTTTGAAATTGGTCTAAAATTATGTGGGAGGGAGGGATCTAAACCAGGTTTCTTTAAAAGTGGGTTCACGCAAGCTGTTTTAAAATAATCAGGGACACAACCAGTAGATAGGGAGCTGTTGAAAACAGAGATCAAATGGGGCCCAACAGAATCTATTACTTTCAGTAAAAACTTTGTAGGTATAACATCAAGTGGGCTGGAGGACACTCTCATTTCTGATACTGTTTTTAAAAGCTCAGACGAGTAGATGGGATAAAACTGGTTAAAACTCTCTTGTTGCTGGTGAGGGACCTCTGAGTAAGAGGCCGCGGGGGTAATAGAGGCTCTGATTGACACCACCTAATTGGTAAAATAAGATAAAAACAATTCACAGTCATCATTACTTCTAGCTGAGGCACTAGGAGGGGTTGGGTTTACCAGCTGATCCACAGTCTTAAACAGAAACCTGGGACTGTGTTTATGTGTCGTAATGAGTTCAGAAATGCATCCTTAACCATGTTATTGGAGTTAATTAATAAATCCTTCAGACTGGGGTAATGGACTTGGAGACAGGTACATGTGATATTTCAGATAAACTGTAAGCATAAGACAAAAACGGTGGGCCTGTGGTTACAATATACAATTCTGGGTTCAAGTGTGGAACCAAAGTTCAGTAATAACTGATTTCTTGTATGTTGATATAGCTGTATGCTCAGTAAACACTCACACACTGAATCGATAGAATGTTTATTATTATATTACTATTATTATGTATTAATTTATTCAACAATAAATATTATTTATCATTTTTTCAATACATTATAAGCAACAGCACTGATCAAACTGTTGTTCTTTCTTATATCAAAACTAGTCAAACAATTATTGAGACATACACTTCAGACAGTGCTAAAGGAGCGTACCAATCTTTAGTTAGCTAGTAATATTCTTCGGTTGCTGACATGAACAAAGGGAATATTAATTTATTTGACCTTCAGTTCCAGCGTAGCACATCAGCGTACAATTTATAATTAGAAAACACACACTCTAATATTACATTGATATTACATTATTATATGTCTGATAAAAGGTCTGTCAGTCTGAGGGTTTACATTGTTTTTTCTGTCCCTCTTTTTATCTTGTTTACAAAAAAACTTCAGTTATGTGAGACATATCAAATAATAATTTAACAGTGTCTCTAGCATAATATGCTACTTCAAAATGCCTGATTGCAAACTGTATGTTAGACTCAACTATATCAGAAACACAAAAACAGACACATCTCTCTGTGACACCAGGCATTTCAGTAGAACACAAGTGAATGACGAGTTTTTTGTAAATTTTTTGAGGCGGAAGAGAGGAGCTTGTGCTAAACCTTTTAAATTCTATGTATAAGATTACCAGTCAGCTCGTGTACTGAGCTGTTACTCTATTTATAAAAATGACCTCTATTGAAAACGGCTTGGCGGAGGCATCTGACGATGTAACATTTTCACTAAGAGGTCAAATTTTAAAAAATGGTTTTGGAAATACAATAGAGAGCATGCCACAGTGTCACATTAACATTCAGTATGACAACAGGCAGGCAGCATTTCTACATTCAAGTAAATGGATGTTTCAGACAATCTTTATCAATTATTAGACAAACTCAAAGTATCTTCAGTAGTATCGTATAACCACAATATTTAGATATAAAATGTATTTTCAGATATGCTTTGTGTTTTTTTAGTTTTGTTGCTTGAACTCTTTGTGAACGCACGCTGTATTTCGCGTTTGCTCAGCTCATTATGGTCCCTATGTATAAAGTGCCTACCTGTACATTAATAACAAACAGATATACTATAGAATATAACAGATTATTGGTGCCTGTGTGCATTTGTATTTGGCACTTCTTGTACCAGAGTGAAAACTGCAACCAAAGGAGATCATACTTAGAAATCAGGCATTCTATTATAGTCACAGATAACAGTCTAAGCCTGGGATTCCCAAACCTTTTCAGCTTGACAATCAAAAGAGAAAATTGGTGTCTCCCCGGGAACTTACAAAAATACATTATGAATTGACATAACATCTACATTTATAAACTACTGATTCGCATCAACCCATGAATTTACAATTAATTTCATTATAAAAGTACATCACAGCAACAATCAAAGTTACTGAGTGTAAAGTTTCTCACCACCTCATTACCAACTTGCACTAAAAAAATGAGACATAGAAGCAGTAAGGCAATACACTGTCAGCTGGAGTGGGGTCAAGTGTATAAAGTAAGCTCACAGCAATAATCAAATTTGCTGAGTGTGATGGGATCCTGCCAGAACAGGACCAGCACCTCCTTTGTCACTCTCAAAAATATGCAAGCCCCACATATACGGGGAGCTGCACTGTATGCTGGGAAGTACTTTTTTGTGACTAAATATTTTGCCATTTGATTACTGTAAGCCCCACAGCTGAGCAAGAGGGTGTTTGTGCTGTGAAATGGTGAAATGAGTCTAGGGGTGTGTGTTTGTGTAAAATGAAGCAGAGGAAATCGACAGGCTCTTAGTTTAGTTTGCTTTCCGTGGTTGTAAATAGAACTTTTGGCCCTGATTCCATTTCCCCCTTTGTAGCAGCGATCCACAGACAGAAGGGACATGACAGGGAATAATTCTAACTAAATTAGGCTATTCTTTAATTTGAACAGCTAGCACCAAGGCGCTGTTCAATGTGATCCAGGTACTGTGGACTTTTTCTCTCCCCCTGATCTGTCGGCACCCTCTCTTTGTTCAGTGACCTCCTGATGTACTGCATTGCATTGTTGTGCATTTAACTCTAGTTTGGGAATGACTGCTCTAAGCACTCGTGTGTGCTTATTACCACAATGTGGTTTGTGTCCACATTGTGGTAATAATTATTTCCCACACTTATTCCAGTTTTTCATTTAGAGAAGAGGAAACTGGAACACCAACCATCCCACCATCACAGCATAGAAGTCCTCATTAATCATCCCAATATCATTAAGCGAGGTCCAGTTGAATAAAGGAATTAATGTGAGAACAGCAGACTCCATTTATAAATACCTGATGAGAAACACGGCATGTAAATACGTTCACTGTGGCATGGAAAAGTAGGACTGAACTACATTTTCCCACGGAGGTGATGTGCTGTATGAATATTGAAAATTATACTGTATACACAGACAGGACTGCCGTCCACTGGACAAGCAGTTTGGCCCAGGCATTTTCACGTTCTGTCCCCCCAAAGACTGATTCTACATACTTCACTTCTGAGTAGGTTTAGATGCTACTGTTGCCTCTTTGGGAGCATCTATCATCTCCTTGGAGTCCACTTTCTCCTTTGTCGATTCTGCTTCATCTTCTTTAGGAGGGAACATCCATGCCAGAGCTGCAGCGGCCGTGCCGTCGCCGCTCTGACGGGAGAAGCAAAGGAAGGTGGCCCAGAAGAAGGCACAGCAGCCAGTGAAGGTGGTCCGCACGTACAGAGGCACCAAGGCAAAGTTCAGAAACTGAGGGAGACACATAAAGATGATTTATATCATTGTACTGGTATATTACATGTTACATAGCAATAAATACTTCTGGTGTAGTTGTTTCTAAAAAATAAAGAATTCCTTTGCAAGTATTGTTGTGAGAAGAAGACGCTATTCTCTAAGTCTTACAAAAAAAACAGAAATTCAGAATACAGTATTTAGTCCTCAGTTTTGTGTTATTATGATATTTGGGATAAGTCTATCATTTTAAGGGTTGCTCCACAGGTTTTAATTTCAAAATCTGTAATATAGCAAAATACTAAATTTGGATCACTTTAAATATTATACCAGCTATTGAAATTTATGGAAATGTGAGGAAATTCAAGGTTTTAACAGTGAATAGAATCTATACTCAATGGTTCACTTACAAACCCTCAGGTTTATGGTGAGTGGACCTTTAAGCATATTCATATATATTCATATTCTTGACTATATACTGTTCCTAAAAGTCAACTATTAACATCTATGCAAGGCAGAGCTTAATGTTTACCTGCATAAATGGCCAGAACATCAGCCCCGTCTGAAACAAGAGACAAACAGGAAGCATTTGTAGACTTACAAAACATTAAGGAGAAAACCTCTAAAGACACAGCTGAAACCTCTGATGACAAAATAAACATTACCATTCAACTGTAGTGACTGAGAGGCATGTGACTCAGTAGAGATCAAAGTTTATTTAACTTCATAAAATCAAATAAAACATGATACATTAACTCTTTGCAACTATGATATAAAGTACATAAATTGTCTTTAAAATATACTGAGCCTCAGTTTTGAGTGCATATCACAGCGGACACTACACTTCAGTGAGAAGAGCATGCTGTGACATCTCTATACTCACTTTATATGTGTTCAGGAATTTTTCTCTCCAGTCTTCCGTGATGTCCTCTTTGCCCTCCAAGAAGCTGACTCCTGAGAGACAAACAAGACAAATGGCAGCGCATTCTCTGTGGGGTGGAAAATGATTTAATGGAGGGTAAACTTTGAAGAAACCATAAACACAGTAGGCTATGTCTTACAGAAGTAGAAGAAGTAGATCGAAAGTTCTTGGTATACCTTTTACCACATGTAATAGTCCTACTCATCATTAGATTTAAGCAACTGATCACACTGGTGATGTGATGTTTGGTCCAGTACAAAGGGTCAAATATCCACTCTGGAGCATATGGTAAGTTATGTCTTTCATGTTGACCTCTGCTAGTGAAGGTTTGTTTTACCAACGAGCAACTACTGATCTTTACACAACAGGAGAAGAGCACAGCGAGCACTAGGATCAAGTTACAAATTGACAGATATGTGAGCTAGTTTGAAGTTAACCAAAAGCTGCCCGGCCGGCTCTCAGTGTGCCCCGCGGGGAGCCGAGGTGTGCGTCTTACTACTACTACCCACCGACCTGTGTAGAAGACACTGGTGGCCAGGGGCGCCGCGGTAGTCTGGTCCAGGAAAAGCTTCCTCATCACCATCCCGGCTGAATTCCCCGGAAACCTCCGCTCCAGGAACCGCATCCAGAAGAAACTGAAGTTTCCGTGAAAACTGAACGCGATCACGGCGACGTTCCGTGTTTGTCTCCAGTCCATTTTCTCCCTCCGGGACAGCCACTGGTGGACGAAGTCCCCTCCGGCGAACAGGCAGCCGTACAGGGTAACGTTGGTGACCCACGGGAACCGACGGACATGTCCCAAAAGCGCCTTTCGCATTTTGTTTACAGTTATTGTTTCCCAGTGGAATGAAATACGGTGTTAGCAAAATGTAACAGTTCGCTTAATGTGTAGCTGACTTCAGCTGAATGTAACATATTACAAAAGCGCCATCTCTGTCTGGAAGTCAAACGTTAACACTGACTAACGTTATCGGTGTCTGACGGAAAGGACAACGTGTAGCCTATATGTTCCCCATATAATGAACGTCATAAAGTAATATCATCTCAGAGGAGATACTTGCTTGCCGTGCTCCATCTGACACCCGGCAGGGAACTGCGAGTCTGCTCATACTGCGTAAAACTACTACGCCCCTTTTACGTAGAAAAAAACCCCAATAGAGTAGGCTACAGTTGAAGGGCGGAGACTCAACCATGGTTGCTCAATCTGACATAGTAGCTACTAGAAAATTGTGTCAGTTGTTGTTAGATAATTAGGGCCCGAGCATGAAACATATTGGAACTCAAGGGATTTTGTTCTTTTTTCTACAAAGTAGGGAAGTGTGGGGTTGTATCTTGGAGATGGCCATGCCTAGGGTAACATAATATAAAGTAAAATAAATACCTACAGTTGAGAAATTAATTTGAATTTAATCAAATGTAAATTTTAGGAAAAAGGCATTTTTTCCTAGCTAGTGGGATACAATGGACCCCCCTAAGCTTAAGTCTATTTTCTGACACATTAAAGAACATTTTATTAATTTTTGTATCTTTAAGAAGGCTATGCTTTGGGTAACATATTATAAAATAAAACAAATAGCTACAGTTGACAAATTCATTTGTATTTAATCAAATTAATTTTTTAGAGAGAGGCATTTTTCACATGGGGTAAGATGCCCCCCTATGGTGTGAAATCACTTTAACATAGATAAAATAAACTACAAGTAACTGGTAAAAGCAAGGAGATTATAGGCCTATGTTGTAGAAATAAAATTGCGTTGCCTTATATTATTAACTTTCCTATCATTTATTTATATATTATTTTTATTTATAGCATTATTATGTCATTAAGGTTGCGAGGAACTTCATCAGCAGAAAGTCTGAGGTAAAATATGCACATGTCAGCTAGCTATACTAGCTAGAAATGTGAGCATATATGTGAGCTTATAACCTCAGACTTTCTGATAGTGAAGTTGCCTGTTGGCAAAAGGGTCTATCCAGTATCTAAATAACATCTAACTTACAAACGATGAAACATAGCATAGCATTTTAATACTTTAACCAAAAACTATAAAAATCTTTCACTCTAAACAATTGCATAACTTACCTTAAGGCTCCCCTTAATGTAAATACATATATAAATTAAACACAATAAAAAGAATTACAGCTTATTTTAACTGACAATAACTTAAAAAATTGTGATGAAACAGAGAACTTTTTCAGTTCAGTGAGACTAGGGGCAGCCAAAAATTTTAAGAAAAAATTGTAACATTTTATGTTTTTTGTTAGAATTTCCGTGGGGGCATCTTACCCAGTGTTACCCTAATCTCAATTTTGGGCGCCTAAACTTACACGAACACTAACAACAAACTTTGCACATAATTCAAGCGTGGTGAAAAATTTCGTATTTTATGGGACTCATGCATGGGCGTGGCAAAATGGGTTTCTATATGTACGAAATTTCAGTGGTAAGTGTATCATCTCCAGATCATGGTCCAGACGTACAATAAAAGCATCTTAGAGCGATGCCCAACACCAAACAGGAAGTCGGACATTTTGGATTTAATGGTCATGTTTGGAGATTTACACACTTTGTACTTTAACAAACTCCTCCTAGGGAATTAGTCTGATTGACTTCAAATTTTCGCTGTGCAGTCTAAACCCAATGACGATTAAAAGTTGTTAACAGTTATTACCAGTCGATCACTTTGCCCGTGGCGTGGCATCAAAAATCGATGATTCGCCATGAAACAGGAAGTTGTTATAACTTCAGTATACATGCTCACATCTGCACCAAATTTTTAACTGTGTAAGTGTCCCAGCCTGAACACATCCATATGTCAATATTCACTCAAAGTAATAGCACCACCTGCTGGCAACAGGAAATGACGCTGTAATGTACTACTCTGAGCAGGTTTGACGTATCAATGTCTGCCCCAGAAAGCCCTTAACACACTGATGAGGCCAAACTTGTGATTTTACATTTAACAGTGTGGTGGCAAAGTTAAATTCACCATGAAACAGGAAGTTGTAGCGCCACCTTCTGGCAACAGGAAGTGATCTTCAACCCCCACAGCATGTTTCACCTACATATACGAAATTTCTGACACATGTATAATGTCCAGACCAAAAAGCCTCTTGGAGTGATACCCTAAACGCAACAGGAAGTCAGCCATTTTGAATTTTATGGTAATGTACACCCTCCATACTTTAGCGCCACTAAGGGGACTCAGGAAGTGATGATTAACACTTTTGTGCAGTATCTGTAGCGCATGGCAAATTCACAGCCGCACCGGCAGAGCTCCAGAATCTGTAACACAGCGGCCACACACACATAC